TGTGCTTATAATGTGTTGATGACAGGGTGGATATGGCCCCTGCAGACCATCCATGTTTTAATACCGACTGACCCACCAGCACCAATAATTCACGCCAAAGCTACAAGAACAAATGTCTGACTGAATTCTTGGACTTCCATACAGCTCAGAGTTGCCACCTCCAATGTACTGTCACTGAAAAGAACATTTGTTTTTAACTCTATTCAGGACTTTTGGGGTCTTTTGGACCCCAGGCCATTTGGTTTAGGTGATAGGCACTGTTTTGTTTATTTTTGAAGATTTCTTTTTTAAAATATGAAAGGAGGGACATTTGTCAGTTCTCCACAACCCTCGTGATGGTTAAGGGGTGTATAGATGATGGATGGATGGATGGACGGACATTTGTCATGCATTTGGAGCCAAAAATATGTTTAACATAGTATAAAAGTCTACAATGAATACCAACAAATATTTTTGCACATATGCTTTCTTGGATACCAATGGACCCTAAAAGACGTTCTAAGTATGGCGACATGAAAGTCCTGAGCAGGGTTAAACGGGTGTGCTTGGTTTGTTTCCTGTCTGTGCTCACTGGGGTGTGAAAGCACAAACAAAATGCAGATGTGAAACTCTTATACGCCTGCTTGTGAGGTGTTATTACCATGAAGTCTCAAGAATCTAGCAGAAATAGCACACTGAGGTGAGAACATCAAACTGTGTGAACTGAGCTGACGCATGTACAGAACGATAATCAAACTGCAGGAAGTAGCTTCAATTAGACCTGGCACCACATCAGATGATCCTGACAAGATTATCAGGACCAAAAGGACTAACAGTAGTATCCCTGTAATGCCTATAGGAATAAAAAACAATAATAATAATAATGCATGTGTGTAATATTATTATATCAGTATTTCACAGTTATCATCCGTACAGCTACAGCACGACTGTACGTAACTGCACATTGACAGTCTAAATATCACATTAAATCAGTTTTACAGATAATTCAAAAATGGACCAGTAATTGCTACAGCTACTATAAACACCCTCAAATGGAAATGTAGATGATCGATACCTGACACACAGAGAACCATGACAACGAATCTGCTCACAGCTGCTGTTGAACTCATAGCTGCTCCCCTCTTCTCTCTGTTAACATGTCAGGAGGCTGCTGCTGCTGCTGCAGATAAAAATCAGTTCTCAGGGTCAATATGCAGCGCCGCTCAAGGATGTGGTGTCGAGATTAAAAAAAACCTGAGACCTGTTATAATCTCGACTGGTTTCCTTCCTCTTTACGTCATCAGCAGGCCTTCAGATTTGTATATCTGTGCATGTCTGAAATGAAATGAAACCTGTGCATGAACCTCCCAAAGCACTGCAGCGTCTAGAAAAGGCCCATTTAGGTCACATTTAAATGTTTCAGTTCCTCAAACTAATTTGAATATGAGACAAGAATAACCCAAGAAAAAACAAAAGGCAGTTTTTAAATAGTGGTTTCATTTATTGAAGGAAAAAATGCTGCTCAGCACCACCTTGATCTGTGTGAAAAAGTAATCGCCCCCTTAGCTACCAATCCACCAAATGACCAAATTCATTCGGCAACTGGGTTCAATTTCACCAGCGACACCCACATATGATTACTGCCAGGCTCGTTGAATCTAAACATCACAAAA